GATGCTGACATACGACGCCTCATCGATCCCCAGGTTGAGCCTGAGACCGCTGTCTTCGGCGCCGCATGAAACCACCATCCACGCAGCCGTGTGGATGTCCTCATTCTGGGCCTTGACGAGCCCCAGCACGTACTCAGCCGATTTCTCGGCGCATCTTGGGAAGAACACCGAGATATTATGCACCGGCGGGATATCCTCCCCCCTCTTGGTACATAACGCGGGCCCCTCCCATCCCTCAATGTTTGGTGCCTTATCTACCAGCCATGCTGCGGTCCGCTCATCCTTGCAGTCCACAAGGAGCATGCCTGACCTGAAGAATACCCCACAAAAGACCAGTGCGTGCTTCCACCCTTTAAGGACCTCATCCATGATGGCGTCCTGGAGTTTGGTCAGGTCCTCAGGGCTTAGGGCAGCAGCAGGGTAATCACAGGGCAGTACAGCCACCCGGATGCCTTTAAGAGCATCCGAATAGCTAGGCTGCTTAGTGATTCCCTCCTGTGGCTGACCCTGGCCCTCGGACCCATCCAAGTCCCTAGACTCTGTTGGAGGGGGTGGGAGCCCCCGCGGCCGTTTGGGGGACGGTGGCTCAGGTGGTGTGACCGGTAGGCTGGTGCGTTTTGGAGTAGCTGTTGTTGAGCCTGTTATGGTACCTGTGGGTTCCCCGCTTCTCCGCCATTTGGCGGGCGCGGGTCTCTTTTGCTGTTGCCCGTTTCTCTGCTTTTCAGCAGGCGCGGGTTTCTGATGGTGTTGCCCGCTTCTCTGCTTTTCAGCAGGCGCGGGTCTCTGCTGCTGTTGCCCGCTTCTCTGCTTTTCAGCAGGCGCGGGTAGTTCACCTCTCTGCTGCATACCAGCGGTTGCAGCCGTCTTACCACTCTCTTGTGCCTCTTTCTCCACCTCTTGTCTTACTTCCGCCATTGCGCGGGCTACGCTCGGCTTCTTCCCCTGCCCCAGGTACCGGAGATACCACTTGACTACCGACCCACCAAGACCAGCTCGATGGTGGTCGTCAAGGGCTTCCGGTTGACCGGAGGGCGGAAGTGGAGGCGGTCTACACCTGCGGCTTCTCTTCTTGCTGTCTTGCAGCTGCCACCCTGACTCGAGCGATGAGGTTCGACTAGGAGACCTGTGGTGCCTACTGCTAGAGTGGTGCCCACTGCCGGAGCGATGCCTGCTCTTCGAGCGATGCCGACGCTCGGATCGGCCTCGGCTCCCAGAGCGGTCATGGCTCCCGAAGCGGTCACGACTCCTGGAGCGACGCCGACTGGCCTCTCGGTTCCTGCTTGGAGATCGGCGCCTATTTTTTGAGGCCAGAGCCTCTGCTCCCTTGGTGCCCTCCGACCGAAGCTGCGCCCGATCCACGCCGCCACTGCTAGTGCTTGGCCTCTCATCTTCTCTGGCGTGTTCAATAAAAAGGGCAGCCTCCTCCTCGGATAGGCTCGCAAGAAAGCCTCCCCTGCGCCTGGTGCCTTTACTTTCGCCCAGCATAGTACTGCCGAGCTTGGCCGTTGGTACCTCTGGTGCCACTGACATAACTATCTTCGTGGCTGCTGCTGCTGTTGTAGCTGTAGTTGTGACTGTTGTAGAAAGTTTTGCTGATGTTGTGGCTGTTGCAGCTGTTGTGGCCGTAGCTGTAGCTGTTTTCGCGGATTTCGCGTTGGTTTTTGTTGTTTTTGTGTTCTTATGGTTTTTAGTTGTATTCATCTTGTTCGTACGACTACCAGCTCGGCTAGGCAANTGTAGTTGTAGCTCTAGCTGTAGCTGTTTTCGCGGATTTCGCGTTGGTTTTTGTTGTTTTTGTGTTCTTATGGTTTTTAGTTGTATTCATCTTGTTCGTACGACTACCAGCTCGGCTAGGCAAGCTCAGCAGTCAAAGTTGTAAAAGGGGATCTCACCTGGTCCGCCGCGCCAGCGCCCCATGTCGCGGTAAGGCCACCGTTACTCCTCGATGCGGCCCGGTGTCGAAGAGGCGCCGTTATATTACAGCCGGTTTATTCCCTCCTGGCTGCAAACCGTCCAATAGGCACGGTGTCGCGTAACACCCTGGATTAGGAGGTGGCAGTTCTTGGTCACCGTTTGCCGGCAGCCCAAATTTGGGGACAAGGTAGCGCAGAAGCGACGAGCGCGTCCACGATACCCCAGACCAGAGATGGGCTGATCGGCAATTCAGCTAAGCCCCCGCACCAACGACAAGGTGCCTGCCCTAGCGAGGGAACGTTATGAATAGCACAGCAGTTAACAATTCTTCCCATCAATAGGAACTCCAACTTCGTATGGAAGAGGGTGATGAAAATGTCATCATAAAGATGGCATCTATTTCCCACGAAGTCAGTATTGAGATGTGCACATCGACTCCTGTAACTCCTGCAGGAAAAACGCCTCGTAGAGGTGCAAAAAGAAGGCGTGTGGACGTTGGTACCGAGGCCCAAAAAACGTTTTTGGAAATTGCTCAGACCCAAGCAAATGCCTTAAAAGTAATTTACATTTTTGTAACTTTACATAAGTAAAATTTTATGACATAATTTTTTCGGTTATTTTTCAACAGATGCTAGCAGAGTCGAGTGCAGCGAATGTACAAATAGCAAGTAGACAAGCAGATGCTTTGAAGGTAATTTTTTGTACATACTAAAAAAAATAGTATTACATTCGTATGCTCTTTCAACAGTTGTTAGCTGAAACAAGTACGGCGAATGTGCAGGTAGCGAAATCGTTGGCCGAAGCTATGAACACAATGGGGGAAGGTTTAAAGGCATGTGCGGATGCCTTTAATAATTTAACAAACGCTATCTACCGCATGTAAATATTGTGTAAATATGTAGTTTTTGAAGTAATTTTTTGTTTTAATATTTATGTTAGTTTTAAGCGTTTTAAATGTAAGTTGAAGTTCTTTTTTGTTTTTATATTTATGTTAGAGTTAAGTTTTAATTCGACATAGCCTGAAGTTAACTTTTTACATTTAGAATAACTGTTTAAGATATTCGAAGAAGAATTTTAACAAATTTGAATTGATCTTTATTTGTTTTTAATAAGCGAGTTATTTGAAGTTCTGTTGATTTTCAAATGAATTCAATGTTTACAAATTTAGTTGATAGAGAGGTATACGGTCTTACTGCATGTAAGATATACCACATATATTTCTTATATACAATAAGTAATGAAATTTCATTTTGTGAATTCATGTTTTAATTTTGTGATGCGCCTGTAACATAAAAATGTTTAATAAAATGCCAAAACAATTTCATTGTATTCCTTCTGAATTTTTATTTATCAACGTTTTATTCACGTAAAATAATTTGCAATTAGCCGGGCGCGTCTTGATTTACATTACTGCTATGTGTCCTTGGCTCTAGGAACTCAGTCTGGGGATCGTATGTTTGGTCACCCAATCGCAAGTTATGCAACACTGTGCAAGCATTTACTACTTTTCAAATAAATCCAGGATCATACAAAAGAGTCCTTTGCTGAGATAAGCATCGCCAAGTTCCTTTGGGAACGCCAAAAACTCTCTCGACTGGGTTTCGAGCTTTGCATAATGCCTCATTGTAGCGGAGTTTAGGACTCCCTTCTGCTTGGTTAGGTAGAGGAGTCATCAACCACGGCTCCAAGGGATATCCTGAGTCACCTGCAAATATATATTCGAAATTTTCAATTAAATTGATTTTAATAAATAAGTTTCAGTGGATTTAAAAAGTTACCAATCAAAAACATGTTATGGTTTCCATTTTCAAAACTTCGCTGCATAACTCTCCGGACTGCAGAGGAGCTCCAAATAAATGAATCGTGTCGCGCTCCTGGGTATTTAGCATTGACAGCCAAAATCTTTAGATTTGGATCACATATCTATATTTGTATAAAATAAAATTAATTCTCAGTAGTTTAACCCGTGAGCAAATTTTACTCTTACAATTTGCACATTGATAGAATGGTATCCATGGTGGTTGACATACGCTTCTTCATGATGTTTTGGGCTCATGATTGACACATGAGTGCAATCGATAGCCCCAATAGTACCTTCTACAAATGGTGCGGATGCTGAGGCGAAAATTTTTTTTGCAGCATGCCGCTCTATTTGGGTCATTGAATACCTAACCTTTGCCAAAAACATGGTGCGGTTTATTGCATCCGTTACGCGATGTATACAGCGACTTACGAACGACTGGCTTATGGATATCCCCCATTGTTGATAACAGCCAGTTGCGAAGAATCGCAAGGCAGTTAGAACCTTTAAAATTTACAAAAGCATTTAAAATTGAAAAATACTTGCAAATTACATTATTTACCTGTTTCTCTTTCGTTATCGCAGTTATTCTTCGACCCCTTAATTGGCTATCAAGCTGGGAAACAATATCTTCAACCAAGTCTGGGGTTAATCGGAACTGATGAAAGGCTTATTATCTCCTCATCTTGGGATAAAACGTATGCAAAATACTCAAATGCCATTTTTAACAAACAATTTTTCTTTTATATATTACTTAAGTAAATTCGCGATCTATATTATTTTATTTTAACTCAAATGAAATATCAAATTTTCTTTTGTCGATGCCGCTAAAAACTTCAAAATATTCGTCGTTAACTTAACGAGTAATCGAGTAGTAAACGACAACAACTGATCAAGCGATAGCGAATATCGTTAAAATATGTTTAGCGAATTGTCAAATCGTTAAAATCGTTGTTAAGTTTTCTTAACGATTCGATAATTATCGATTATAACGATTATAATCGTTAAAATAGAATGGCGAATCCCACTACAGAAGGAGTAAAGCTATCGTGATCGGTTATTTATTTGTACAATGATTTTGGGTTGTTGTGTCCAAACGCGTTAAGCCTTAATTTACAACAGAGATTTCAAATTCCATTAATAGATTCGGTTTGAAATATGCACTATTTGTAAATTTCGATGTGCGTTCTGCGCAAAAATTCTGTGGATGGCGTAGCCAGAGTTATACGCAAAAGACATGTTGTATACCTTCGACATTAGCAACACAGAAAGGGGAATTATACTTAGTAAGGATTAAAACCCCTAAGCGCGCCCGAAGGCCGCCTACTCATAAAGAAGTTCTGCGCAAAAATACACTCCGCACCATAACACAAAATCATTTTACTAAGCATTTCCCAAGCTATCGTTTAATTATTTTGATGTTCGCAGATGAAAATTATAGGCTGCAAATAATTGGCGAGGTTCTAAAGGACCAAGACAGCACGAAGCTGATGCTATCGTTGCTGCAGGAGCTTCAGCCGAAGGTGAGGAAATCGGTGCAAGTAAAAAATAAAACCAAGATGTGGAAGATTATAGAGGAGAGAATGGCGTTTGAGGGCTATAATTTTTCAAGCGTACAGATTGAAAACAAGTTTCGCGGCCTGGAGGGACAATTTAAAAAGCGATGCTGCATAATAGGCGAACGGGCAGCAACAGGGAAACTTGTCCTTATCAAAGGTTTGTAATTTAAACCAGAATAAAATTATTGCTTTTATTTTTAACATATTTTATTGTTATCTAGTGAGTTGAATGATATTTTGGGGAAAAGGCATTCAGTAAACCCCAGTTATTCCTTGCAAAGTACAGACGTAACCGAGCCTTATTTGTCCGAGAGCGCTTCCGACTTGGATCAAACAATGCAAGGTAGTGCTTTTTGGTAACATATCGATGGCTGAGTGGAAGATCGACCTATCTCGGCAGCCAGTTCGAAAACGCCCTATCTCAGAAAACTTTTCAAGAACGCCCTACTTCAGAATTTTACTGAAAAACAACCTATTTCAGAATTTTATTGAAAACCACTCTATCTCAGAATTTTGTTGAAGAACGCCCTATCTAAGAATTCGGTTCAAAAACGCCCTATCTCAAACGAAAATACATTGAAAATAAGCTGAGATAGGGCGTTTTTGAATCGGCAGCTGAGATAGGGCGTTATTCAACAAAATTCTGAGATAGAGGGTTTTTCAATAAAATTCTGAAATAGGTTGTTTTTCAATAAAATTCTGAAGTAAGGCGTTCTTGAAAAGTTTTCTGAGATAGGGCGCTTTCGAACTGGCTGCCGAAATAGGTTAATCTTCCACTCAGCCATCGATATATGGTATATATGGTATATATTTTGTATTTTAATATTTTGTATTTTTGTATATTTGGTATTGTTATTTATTTCGCATATAATTTAATTTATTTAATTTAATATTATATTGAAAACATTAGTGCATTAAGATGTAATCTTTGCTTGCACAATGATACAAACAAAATGCAAAAATAAAATAAAAAGTACAGATAATAATTAATATTACAATATAGATTAAGGTAATGTATACGTTGAATTACAAATCATATATTCTAAAATAAAACAAAGGTAAGCTTATAACCACTATTCTTGATCACGCTTGGAAGAAAAAAAGTTAAATATGAGTTTTTTGAAGTTGCCTATGTGCAACGCGTTCTTCAAGGACAGTGGAAGGGAGTTCCAGAGCCGTACCGCATTAATAAAAAACAGTCTTGAAGTGCATAAATAATTAAATCTCGGAAGAATAAGACCTGACGAACGTGTACTCTTAGAGAACTTAAGTTTATTGTACAGATATTCCGGGCTCTTCGTGATAAATAATTTGAACATAAAAATGCAATTACGCGCGTTCAGAAAATTTTGTAAATCACAGCCAAGTATAGAATTACGCATAGATGAGAGATGATCGTATTTCTTTAAACCAAATACATACCTTGTGGCAGAGTTA